TAAATACAAGAATAAATTATGTTTGTTTTATTATTTATATTTTTATCTTTATTATTATTATATTATATATTATGTTCAGCGTTTGTAAGCGGCCGATTGTTATTCTCGCAATATTATTATTGTAATATTATTATTCTTTTTATTATATATGTATTACAACTGTTCTATTGGTTCTGTATTATCATTAATATTATTAATTTTAATAATAATAATTATTATTAATCTTTTATTAGCCCCGCACTATAATGATTGTATTAAGATTATTTATTATTATTATTATTATCATTATTATTTAGTATTCTTATCAGTATTATTAATTAGTATTATTATTATTATCAGTATTACTATTACTAATTATTATTATTATTGTGCATGATTATCATTTTTGTTATTATTACTATTATTAAATTACAATTAAATTCTTACATTATTATTTCTATTAGTATAATTATCATTAATATTATTATCAATATTATTATTGTTATTAGTGTTATCAATATTACGATTAATAATATTATTATTATGATTGTTATTAATATGAATATTATTAGCAATATTATTAGCATTATTATTAATAAAATATGTGTTATTGTTATTTAATTTGTTTTGTTTTATTGTGTTTACTAACTAACACGCACCTTGAACGATATTAACATCGACAATTTTGCCTAAGAGATCTCCGCATAGGCGGCTCCAGGCTGGAGGTTTAATAATTGCAGCAGTTGAGAAGACTCTTGAAGAAGAAAGACAAATTAATTTATTAAAATAATAAACAAATGATGATGAAGATGCTCTTTCTACATCTCCTTCAGCAGATCCATACAAAGCCATCCTCTCAGGGATGGTGCGCACGCGAGCAATTGTGAAGTTTATTAGCGACTCTAAGCAAAACAAACAAAAAAACAGCATAATAACTAATATATTTAATCATTTATAATAATATTATTCGCTAAATTATCAATAAATATAGATGTTGTAATTGTAGTAATAATAATATGCAATATTGTGATGTTTATTAGAGACTCTAAGCAAACAAAACACAAAAAATATAATAATAAACAATATATTTAATCATTTGTAACAATGATATTACTATTTAAATAATATATAACGATAGATATATTAATATGAATGATATTAATAGGCATTATTTTTATTTTTCTTGATATAACATTATATTAAGACATATAATAATAAAACATTTAATTAAATTTGTTTAATCACCATAGAGACTCAGAACAAACAATAAAAATATATTCTTTTATTGTTATTTATCTAAACAAAACAAATAAAATAATAATTTAATTTACTCACCATAGACACTGAGTCTAATTGATTGAGCGAGCGCGAAGGAGGCCGCCAGCTTCTCTGCAAGAGAATCTGTCTGCAGCAACATAAATAAATAAAATAAAGAAATATATTAAATAAATAAATAATAAATAAATTTATTATTATTTATTAATAATAATCATCAGTTTTATTATTACGCTCTGTAGTATTAATATCGTGAGAGGCGACGCCATAGATAACAAACGCATTTCTCTTCTTTACAAACCCTAAACCCTAAACCCTAAACCCTAAACCCTAAACCCTAAACCCTAATCCCTAAACCCTAAACCCTAACCACGAGTCATGCCTTGCCTTGAGGTAAATGCAATCCTGAAGAATCCTCGACTTGGGAATCTGCGAGATGTCCACAGCAAAGTCTTTAATAAAACCCTAAACCCTAAACCCTAACCCGTAAACCCTAACCCGTAAACCCTAAGCCCTAAAACCCTAAACCCTAAACCCTAAACCTTAAACCCTAAAAACAAAACGTACGGGAGTACTTCCAGGCCCTTCACCAGAATCCCTTAACTCGTTATCGCTCAGCTTTATACCCTAAACCCTCAACCCTCAACCTAAACCCTAAACCCTAAACCCTAAACACTTACTTCGTAAGAAGGGTACATACGCCGCACTTGGCTGATGTAGGCAAATCGCATGACGTCTTCCTGAACCATATCCGCCCTAATAAATCGAGCTGAAAGAAATAATGCAAAGATAACAAACCTTAAACCCTCAAAACCCTAAACCCTAAACCCTAAACCCTAAACCCTTCTATCCCCAAACCCCCATACCCTAAATCTTAAACTCTAAACACTTTACCCTCTAAACCCTAAACCCTTTATTGCAGTGTATATGATATACTAGTGTTTTATTGTTAATTATATTGTATATAAAGATGCATTATATTTTATTATATTGTATATAAAGCCGCATTATATTTTATTATATTGAATACTATAATATATTATTATTGTGTATTGTGTTTTATTATTAATTATGCAGTTTATTAATGTTGTGTTATATTTTGTTATATTGTTTATTATAATATGTTATTGTTTAATATATTATAATAACGCATTATATCATAATATAATAGACAATTTAATAAAATATAATGCATATATATTGTTAATATAATGTATTATTATTAATAACAATTAATATAGAGTATAATTCTGTATGAAAATTTATAATATTGTATAATGTTATATTATTATTAAAAATATATTAAATAAAATACTATAAAAAAACAAATACAAACTTTTGACTACAAAATTGAATAGGAATATATAACAAATAAATATATAAATAAATAATAAATAAATAAACAAATATATAATAAATAAATAAATAAGTATATAATAAATAAATAAATAAATAAACAAATAAATAAATAAATAAGTAT